CCTGACCTCAGGTGATCTGCCCGCCTCAGCCTCCCAAAGTGCTGGGATTGTAATCCCAGCATGAGCCACTGTGCTCAGCCCCACCTTGCTTCTCTCCCCCTCTCCCTCCCCCCCCTCCTTTCCTTCCTTACTTCCTTTCCTTCTTTCTTTCTCTCTCTCCCTTCCTTCCTTCCTTTCTCTCTTTCTTTCTCTTTTTCCTTTCTTTGTTTGTTTCTCTCTTTTCTATTTCTTTCTTTTCTTGGCAGTCTTGCTGTGTCTCCCAGGCTGGCATGCAGTGTCACGATCTTGGCTCACTGCAACCTCTGCCTCTTGGGTTTCAGTGATTCTCTGGCCTCACCCTCCTGAGTAGCTGGGATTACAGGCTTGCGCCACCACACCTGACTAATTTTTGTATTTATTAGTAGAGACAGGGTTTCGCCATGTTGGTCAGGCTGGTCTCAAACTCCTGACCTCAGGTGATCTACCTGCCTTGTCCTCTCAAAGTCCTGGAATTACAGGTGTGAGTCACTGCCCCAGCCTACCACCTTGCTTTTTAACTCTCTTTTGACAGCCAATGATGGAAGCCTCTCATATGAATGGGCTCAGCCTGGCCTCCTGGGAGGGGCTAATATGCCTTTCCTCTTATTCCAACTGCATCTACTCAGGATTTACCCTGCAAGGACCCCTCCAAAAATGCTGTGGCTGGGGGGGTCTGAAGCCTTCCTATCCATGTGACCTGGCCGGCATGCCAGCCTCTTGGCTTGGAGTCACCACTTACAGTAGCATCTCACCTTTCTTCTTTATAGAGGGAGAACAAAGATCAAAATGCCTTGTTCCCAAATGAAAACAGACAGAGCATTTTAATGATTAACCCTGTAACTTTGTTATTGGTCTGCGCAGGCCTCTTGCCATCAATGAGGCAGGAACAGCCCTGCTGCCTCTTGCTCTAAGCCCCAGGGTAAAGGATAATTTAATAAAGATTCAGTGCTTCCCCATGAAAGTCCCAGGATATACTTCCTTCTGCCATTGAGAGGCTGCTCGGTAGGTTCTGGATGGTTCTGAAACTCTCCACTGTGCCCCACAGTGCATGGGCCTTTTTCACCTGCCCCCAGGTATTCTGCAGGGCTCTTTTCTTTCTTTCATTTTTGAGATGGAGTTTTGCTCTTGTTGTCCAGACTGGACTGCAATGGCACAATCTCGGCTCACTGCAACCTCCGCCTCCTCGGTTCAAGTGATTCTCCTGCCTCACTTTCCCGAGTAGCTGGGATCACAAGCATGCGCCACCATGCCTGGCTAATTTTGTATTTTAGTAGAGATGCAGTTTCATCATGTTGGTCAGGCTGGTCTTGATCACCCCATCTCAGGTGATCCACTCACCTCGGCCCCTCCCAAAGTGCTGGGATTATGCATGAGCTGCTGTGCCTGGCCTGGCACTTTTCATTTATTATCTCATTTTTATTTCTCAGTCACCCAGCCAAGCAGCTGCACCTTCCACATTTTGCAGATATGGAAGATGAATCTAAGCTTTAGTATTTCATCCCTCTGCTATATCAAGGAATCCAGAAATGCCTAAAGAAACATCTGGAAGTAAAAGATGCTGCCACAAGGCCAACGGTTCAACTACTTTGTCTCTTCCTTTTGGGGTGATTTTTCTTTCACTTTACTTTTTCTTGTAAAGAGTCTTCCTACCTCTCCATTGCCCCTCCTTCCCACCCACTCTACCGCTGTCATTCTCCGTAGCTGATCTGGAGTGGATACAGTGGGATTTACATTTGTTTCAGCATAATTCGCTCTTCAGCCTTTCATTCAAGGGCTGACTTACCGGGTTGTAAATTCAGTCGTTTATTCCATGCTCATTTCCGTGCTCGTTCTATGTTCGACACCAAGCTCCATGCTGTGGATACAAAGGTGGTTGTGGTTCGGTCCAGGTCTTTGAAACCCTCATAGTCTAGTGCAGAAAGAAGAGATGCAAGCACGGAGTTTCTAGTTAACATGGCGAGAGCTCCTAGAGAGGGATTCGCACTGTGTTGCAAGCATACAAGGAACAAAAACCAACCTGAAGATAGGCCAGGTACGTGGGTTCACATCTGTAACGCCAGCACTATGGGAGGCCGAGGCGGGTGGATCACTTGAGGTCAGGAATTTGAGACCCGTCTGACCAACATGGTGAAACACTGTCTCTACTAAAAATACAAAAAAAAAAAAAAAAAAAAAAAATTAACTGGGCATGGTGGCGTTTGTAGTTCCAGCTACTAGGGAGGCTGAAGCAGAATTACTGGAACTCAGGAGGCAGAGGTTACATTTGAGACAGAAAAATCCTTTCTCAAGAAAAGAAAACAAAAACAAAAACCAACTTGAAGAAATCACAGAAGACATCCCAGACAAAGTGTCATGAGAGTTGGGAACTGAAGCACAACTAGGAGTTTATTAATTTCTCATTAATTCCTTGAAAGACCGTATTAGTGGTGTAGACCCACCTGCTTCCACTCTCCTGCGTTTAAGCATTCTTCGTATCACATACCTGGCCTTTCCTGACAACGGCTCTTGAGACCAGAGATTGACCTCAGGCTCCAAGTAAGCTGATTCTCAGGCAGGCTAGAGAGCACTGATTCATGGCCTGACTTGAAAAGAAGATGAGCTCAGCCAATCAGTTCCCTCTTTCAGGAAGTTAGACCTGGGAACAGAAGGATGGATCTAGTTGGTGCTGGTGCTACATTTGCAAAGGTGCGAAGTTGACTTGGGAAGCCACAAGGATTGTGTACTAGTGAAGGTGTAGGGACACGAAAGCAACAAGGAAACAGGAGACACAGAGGGAGAAAGCTGAGATACAGTGAGGGCGAGAGTCCAGTTGCTTCTGAAACATTAGAAGCTGCCAGAGGTGACAATGTTTCCTGGTCCCCACTATGACCCTCTAGTTCCCTTCCTGTCCTGGAATGTGCGCATGAGACTACTCAACAGCCCCACATACATTCCCCCCTTTAAAAATGAGCTGAAATGGGTCTTGGTTCTTGAAATCCAGGGTCTTGGCTATAACAATATTTCAAAACTGTTTTCATGGAGAGCAGGCCTTTTCCAGTTGGGTAAGAAGAAGAGGTCATAGTGAAACATTCTAAAAGGACCAACGTTAGCTCTGAGGGGGTGGGAGGTTTAGTTTGGCTGGAGGTTTAGTCAGCAATGGGGCTGGTAAAATCTGGAGCCAGACTGGGAGGGCTTTGAGAAGAGACCTTCGTCTTTGTAATTTATGGAAGTGAAATTGCAGTAGCAACGAGTAAGTCCTACGAGTAACACTAGTAAATCAGGATGCACAAGACTGACCTTTGCCAGGAACGAGCCCATCCATTTCCCTTTTTATTCCTGGCCTCATTTTATAGGTAGTTCTCATTAGAGGCAATTTATCTGGGTTGAACTTTTGGCAATGGCAAAGCAGAGGGAAATGCTTTTTTAAAAAATTTTTTAAACACCTCCACCTTTTTATAGGCCCCTCTTGCCAACACTCTGTTATCAGGAGCTAAGAGATTTCATGGATCTCATTTGTCATTGAACTACAGTGTTTTCCCATCCTGCCTCTTCCCAGGGGTGTTGACCTTGGAAAAGTGACTCAGTATCCTTGAATCTCATTTTCTTTACTTGTAAAATGAGGGTAATTATATTTACCCAGCTGAACTCTGGGGTAGTGCTTTTCCAGCTTTCTCTGGGGAATCATTAGGGTTGTTTTTTTTTTAATGCATTTATTTATCTTATTTTTTTTTTTTTTTTTTTTTTGAGACAGGGTCTTGCTTTGTTGCCCAGGCTAGAGTGCAGTGGTGTGATCTTGGCTCACTGCAACCTCTGCCTCCTGGGTTCAAGTGATTCCCCTGCCTCAGCCTCCTTGGTAGCTGGGACTACAAGTGCACGCCACCACATCTGGCTAATTTTTATATATTTAGTGGAGACGGGGTTTCCTCATGTTGGCCAGGCTGGTCTCAAACTCCTGACCTAAAGTGATCTGCCCACCTGGGTCTCCCAAAGTGCTGGGATTACAAGCATGAGCCACCACACCTGGCCTATTTATCTAAATTTTTTACTTTTCAATCCATGATGAACCAATACAAGCATGCAGCTTGGGACATATGCAACCTGAGTTTAAAACACTCAAACTTTTCTAGACCCTGTTCCAGAAGACAAGTCTGCTAGTCACGTGCTTGAGTATTATGGCAAGGTCAAAGATTAGAAAGGTTTCTAACCGCTTGCTTTCAATTCTATATTTATTATTGTGAACTGGAAATGAGTAGTTCGCAGACCAGCTTCAGTCTGTGGACCAGACTTTGAGTGACACTGCCTTAAGGGTCTTTTTTTTTTTTGGAGACAGAGTTTTGCTCTTTGTTGCCCAGGCTGGAGTTCAATGGCTGATCTCGGCTCACTGTAACCTCTGCCTTCCAAGTTTAGGCAATTCTCCTGCCTCAGCCTCCTGAGTAGCTGGGATTACAGGTGCCTGCTAATATTTGTATTTTTAGTAGAGATGGGGTTTCACCATGTTGACCAGGCTGGTCTTGAACTTCTGACCTTAGGTGATCCACCTGCCTTGGCCTCCCAAAGTGTTAAGATTACAGGTGTGAGCCACTGCGCCTGGCCCCTCAGGAGTCTTATGAACTCAAATCGAGGCAACCTATGGGGTAGGGCTTTGGGACTGAGAGTGGGCTTTATATGTAACTTGCATGTGTGAACCATGTTTATGGGATGATAATGTGACACCAATCTGATGTTTCCTGAATGTTTGTAACTCTTTCTTTGTCTTCTCTAGTTATGTTCTTAGGTTGGCAGTGTTTCCTGGTGTGTCCCTTTCTCTTTTTTTGTGACTTGGCATTCTGTTCTGCACTGGAACACAGTATGTCTGTATCCAAAGGCTGCCGGTTTTAGAGTCAGGGTTGGAGTTGGAATCTTGGCTCTGACACTTTCTAGTGATGAGATGTCGGACAAATTGTTCGATTGTCCCTCAACTTCCTCATTCAGTTAATTTTTATTATTATTATATTTTGAGACAGGCTCTGGCTGTATCACCCAAGCTGTAGTTCGGTAGTGTGATCTTGGCTCACTGCAACCTGTACCTCTGGGGCTCAAGCCATCCTCCTAACTCAGCCTCCTGAGGAGCTGGGACTACAGGTATACACCACCACACCTGGGTAATTTTTAAATTTTTTAAGAGATGGGGTCTTACTTTGTTGCTCAAGCTGGTCTCTAACTCCTGAGCGCACGTGATCAACCCACCTAGGCCTCCCAAGTGCTGGGATCACAGGTTTGAGCGACTGCCCTTATTCCTCATTTATAACAGAGCGCTGGTAATACCTAGCTGGTGGCTGTGGTGAGAATTAAATGATCTAATGTGAAAAACCACATCTTGTGTCTAGTAGGTTCCCAATAAAGCAGCTCGCTTTGCTCTTGCACTCTGATGACGTTTTTGTTTGTCTTACATTCTGTGTGATTTGGAGGCTCAGAAAGTGGCACAGGCAGGCTAATAAACCATGGGGGCAGCAGCATAGATCATGATGTCAGCATAGTCCCCATGCCTTGCTGAGGCCCCAAGAGGAGTCAGAATTAAACACCATGGGTGACCCAAATGCTGAATCTCTTCCGTTTCATAGTCTCTCTGCCTCAAAGGACCCTAGAGCCCACACAGCCACAGAGTCCCCAAAATGTCCCTGCTGATGGGGCTTGGGCTGTTTGGCACAGATGCTGTGAGGTGCCTGTCCTTTGCTTGGAGGATTCTTCACAGCTGACAAAGCCGTGGTTTGGTCATGGAAGGTGTCTCTGTCTCCAGTTCAGAGGTGAATCCTGATTAGTTTAACCAGTCACTGCAATCCCATGTTCCCTGATCAGTAATACATTTTGGGATGGGTGTGTCTCTCAGTATGGCCTGAGACTTAAAGTCAAACTCTTAGGCTCAAGTGATCCTTCCTCCTTAGCCTCCTGAGTTGTTGAGACTACAGGCACATGCCACCACATCTAGCTAATTAAAAAAAAAATTAAAGCAGGGAGCTGATGGGAGGCACCTATAAAATGTTTCTTCTAATCTTCAAAAGAAGCAACTCAAAGTTCGAGTCTTTTTCTGCCTCTGGATGTTTTTCTGTCCAGATGTGATGCCTGGAACTGTGGCAGCCCTCTTGTGATCATGAGGGGAGCTGGTCCAAGAACAAAGTTGATATATTGAGACATGGAAAAAACATGGATCCTAGATGAAATAATTAAATCAGTTTTGAAGTCACCCTACCATACGCCTTTATGGTATATAAATTAGACAAAATGAACTTGTAATAATTGCACTAGCATTCTGTATCAAAATCCTTACATAAAATGTGAGGAAATTAGTTTGCTGGTACTGTGCAGTGCTGAAGGCAGGGTATGCTTGAGGATTCCTGGGCAGGGACTCAGCTTTCTTTCTGCAGCTGAAGAAATGGACTCATTCATGTTGTGTTTAAACATTCCCTTGAATAGAAGCCATAGATGTTAGAGTAAATTCTTCTAGTGACATGAGCAATGAGTGAGAAAGGGCAGTGGCATAGCCCCTTGAATCTCCTAATTAGAAGCCTCACTAAGGCGTGTGCTCTGATCTGCAGCTGCCTGACACGTGTCATTCTGATTTCAATAAGATTCTCTACCTTTGTATAATTAAAAAGGGGACTTACTGTAATAGGTAAGGATGTATAGGGATAGGTGTGTATGTATGTGTGTGTGTGTGTGTGTGTAGGTGTGTCATCTGTAACTCACCTGAAACCTCTGTAGTTGTCGTATTTGAAGTAATAAATTTCCTAATTCTTCTTCCTCCTCCTCTTTTTCTTCTTTCTTCATTTATTGAGACAGGATCTCATTCTGTCACCAAGGGTTAAGTACAGTGGTGCTCACTGCAGCCCCAAACTCCTAGACTCAAGTGATCTTCCCTCCTCAGCTTCCTGAGTAGCTGGGACTACAGGAACACATCACCACACACAGCTAAATAAAAAAACAAAAAAACCCCACGTGTGTGTGTGTGTGTAGAGCTAGGGTCTTACAGTGTTGCTCTGGCTGGTCTTGAACATCTAGACTCTAGTGATGCCCCGCCTCAGCCTCCCAAAGTGCTGGGATTGCAAGTGTGAGCCACCATCCTGGCCTAAATTTCCTCATTCTGTAAGTCACTTTAAGTTGAGTGGTTTATTCTTTGCTCTTGAAAACACCGTAATTGACATATGTTCCAACTGTGAGTGCTTGGCCAATGGGCGCAGGGGCAATGCTGGGGTTAGGGATATAGGAAAGTATATGCTTTCTAAATTTTATTTTCAGTTTTTGCACTGAATCTGAGAGATCATGTTTGAAAAAATTTAGTCTATTCCGTCCTTCATTCATTTGTTAATTTGGACCTGTTGAGTGCTTTTCATGTGCCAGCCACTGTGCCTGGCACTGGGAACACATTGGAGAAGAAGTCCTGCCTTGGGGGCATCATGATGGAATGACAAACACTTCAGTGGCTCTGCATGCTAAACTCTTTTACAGGAGTCTCAGTATCTTGGAAACCATGTATGTGTCACTTCAATATTTTTTTTTTTTGAGACAGAATCTCACTCTATTGTCCAGGCTGGAGTGCAGGGGTGTGATCTCTGCTCACTGCAACCTCCACCTCCTGGGTTCAAGAGATCCTTATGCCTCAGACTCTCAAGTAGCTTGGGTTACAGGTGTGGCCACCACACCCAGCAAATTTTTGTATTTTTAGTATAGACTAAAATACAGGGTTGCACCATGTTGACTAGGTTGGCCCAGCTTAGCCTCCCAAAGTGTTGGGATTACAGGCATGAGCCACCACACCTGGCCCACTTCAAGATTTTTAATTCATCTGAGATGGTGCCAGGGAAGGAGAGACTTGTTTCTGTTGTCATTAGAAAACTCAGGTTTGGCTGGGCGCAGTGGCTCCCACCTGTAATCCCAGCACTTTGGGAGGCCAAGGTGAGCAGATCACGAGGTTAAGAGATTGAGACCATCCTGGCCAACATGGTGAAACCCCATCTCTACTAATAATACAAAAGTTAGGTGGGCAGGCTAGTGCACGCCTGTAGTCTCAACTACTCAGGAGGCTGAGGCAAGACAATTGCTTGAACCTGGGAGGTGGAGGTTGCAGTAAGCCGAGATTGTGCCACTGCATTCCAGCCTGTGACAGAGTGAGACTCTGTCTAAAAAAAAAAAGAAAACCCAGGTTTGTGTGGCCCTGGTTTTAATAAATGTGTCCATTACATCAGTCAGCAAGAACATCACATTGGGAAGTGGAGTAGCCACACCTTTTCTTTACATAGCTAAAGTACAATAAGTATTTACAATTGAGGCAGAAAACAGCCACATATTAAATATCTGGATCTCATATCATCAATGTATGGTGGTTATTGGTTTTCAAATGGGTATTTTTTCAGCTTTACGATCTTCTCGAGTGACAGTGGTGATACTTTTCAATACTTCCATGCAGGCCCTGATGTACATTCCCTGGCTTTTGTGTCCTTATCTTATCCAAAGCATTGTAGAAGAGAACAAATAAATCTAATCTTCAGGACAATGTCTTTGCAGGTGGACAGGGATAGCATATCAAGCACTGAAGACTTTGAGCTTGGGAGGCTTTGAGCTTGTGATGTCTGTGGGGAAGTGAACATGTGACATGGGGGAATAAGTCTATTTTTATACAACAAACCAATGACCAGCATCTCTGTGACAGCAGTGAGTCCCAGAACACGGGTTTTCATTTTTTTTTCTTGAGACGGAGTTTCACTTTTCTTGCCCAGGCTGGGGTGCCATGGCAAAATCTCGGCTCACTATAAAATCTGGTTTCCAGGTTCAGGCAAGTAGCTGGGATTACAGGCATGTACTATCACGCCTGGCCAATTTTTTTTTTTTTTTTTTTTTAGTAGAGACAGGGTTTCATCATGTTGGTCAGGCTGGTCTTGAACTCTTGAGCTCAGGTGATCTGCCTGTCTCAGCCTCCCAAAGTGTTGGGATTACAGGCGTGAGCCACTGCACCCTGCTGGGTCTTCTTTTTCATTTCTCTGGAACTCATGTTTTTGCTTCTCAGAGGAGAGCCCCAGTTAGGACCTGGCCCTTTTTTCTCATCCTGCACGTTGCGACTCAGAAAAGAATAATTCAACCAGGCAGGAGAGAGATGGGCTTTTGCTGGATGGGGGATGGCAGTTTTGGCAAAGTGTAGACATTCATTTTTCTTTTCTTCAAGCTTAGGTGGGATAACCCAGGTAGATTGCAAGATGGTAAGAAGTGTATATATTCATCATGAGGGCCCCTATGGGGGCGGAAGGCAGGAGCTGGAGTTCAGAGCTGGGATTGATTGCACGGAGTGAGGATTCCTGGTAAGTGTAGAGTTCATGCTCTACCCTTGACAATTGCTGCTTCTCTGCTTTGTACCTTACTTGTATTGCTCTTTACTTGTATTGCTTCTACCACATCATAAACAGTTTATTATATTTCATTCAATTAAACCCAGGTTTATTGAACTAGGTTCAGTGATAGGTACAAGGGACACTGAAGTGAAACAGACACTAGTCCTCATGGGACTCATGAACTACGGGAAAGACTGACAGATTGACAGCCCAGAAAACTCAGTATCTAAGTGTCTCCATAATGAGACACACTGGGCCTGAGAGAGCACAGAGATGGGGTTTCTGGCCAGCAATGAGAGGTCATGACAAAACTTGGGGAACAGTTAATTCAGTGTGACTGGAGCTGAGTGTCTGTCTTAGTTCAGGCTGCTATAGCAAATTACTATAGACTGGGTGGCTTAAACCACAGAGACTGATTTCTCACAATTTTGGAGACTGAAAATCTAAGGTCGGGCTGCCAGCATGGTCAGGTTCTGCCAAGGTTCCTCTTTCAGGTTACAGACTACCAGCTTTCTGTTGTAGCCTCTCACATGGCAACGAGAGGGTAGGAGAGAGCTCTCTAGGTCCCCCCAGATTTTTTTTTGAGACAGAGTCTCTCTGTTGCCTAGGCTAGAGTGCAGTAGCACTATCTCAGTTCACTGCAACCTCTGCCTCCTGGGTTCAAGCAATTTTCTGCCTCAGCTTCACAAGTAGCTGAAACTACAGGCACATGCCACTGTGCTTGGTAAATTTTTGCAGAGACAGGGTTTTACCATGTTGGCCAGGCTGGTCTGGAACTACTGGCCTCAAGTGATCCACCCACCTCAGCCTCCCAAAGTCTGGGATTACAGATATGAGTCACCATGCCTGGTCTCTGGACTCCTTTCTTTTTTTTTTTTTTTTTTTTTAGACACAGTCTTGTTCTGTCACCCAGGCTGGAGTGAGTAGTACAGTGGCACGATCTCAGCTCACTGCAACCTTCGCCTCCTGGGTTCAAGCAGTTTCCTTCCTCAGCCTCCCAAGTAGCTGGGATTACAGGCAGCCTGGCTCTACTAAAGAGACAAAAATCCCGTCTCTACTAAAAACACAACACCACACCTGGCTAATTGTGTTTTTAGTAGAGACGGGATTTCACCATGTTGGCCAGGTGGGTCTCGAACTCCTGACCTCAAGTGATTAGCCCATCTCGGCCTCCCAAAGCACTGGGATTACAGGCATGAGTAGTGATTCGTTTCTTTCTATACTTCTTTGCCTATTAAAGCCCTTTTCCCTGCACTCAGTTAACAACAATAAAGACACAGCATCAACCAGATCAAGGAATAATATGAGGCCTGATTGAAGTTTTGTTGCTCTTAATTCTTACTGCTTGATGATGACGATGATGATAGTTTCAGTGCTTACTATATTTAAAGAAGCTTCATAAGGATTACATAACATAGATACTATCATGGCCTTTTTTTTTTAACCTATGGGGAAACTGAGGCTTGGAGACCTTAAGTATTTTCCCCTAGGTCACACAGGTAGTGTGATGGAACCCATTCTCTTTTCCTTATAATGTGATGATGATTAGTATTATGCTTTTATTGTAATTGTCATTATCATTATTACATTTATGGATCAAACATTATCCTAGGTTTGAGCTGTGTACCTCTGAATCTAAGATTTCATTGTAACTTTGCAGCAGCTCTAGGAGGTTGGCATAATTCCTACAGCCCAAACATTCTGCAGCTTTTCATTCTCAGTCTGGTTGTCTTGCAGAAATCCATATTGCTTGTTTATTGGAAAATCAACTTGTAAAGAAATGAAAAGCACTATTTAAAAACCCTGGATCTATATGCCTTCCACATCATCTGTTTGTTTTCACATCCTCCCTTCCTGTAATGATCCATGTGTGCTTAGATTTTGATTACAGGTGTATGCTCATTTTTAAATATAGGTACCATTTGTATAATGTTATATCCTTCCTTTATCACTTGCCATTGTTTTATATTCTCTATTGGGAGATTTTTCTAACAGTTTATAATTTTCTCTGGCTGTAGCAGCTACCTTGTGGATATGCCATTATTCACTCACTTAAAGACTGCTATTTTTTGAGCATTTTAGATTATGGTGACTCTCTGTGTCTATATTATTTTGAAAATTTCATCTGAGTTGACTTCTTGGGATAAATTGTCAGGAGAGGAGTGATTGGGTTAAAATGTCGTCACCAAGTATTTGTTGAGCACCTGTTTGTTCCAGGCTGTGTTCAGGAGCTGGAGGCACAACTGTGGACAAACATGACCCCAGTCCTCCTCAAGCTTACAATGCTCCGGGGAAGACAGAGACCAAATGGATAAGCAGATAAACAAACAAAATAATTATGGGCCTGGTGCCATGGCTCACACCTGTAATCCCAGCCCTTTGGGAGTCTGGGGCAAGAGGATCACTTAAGTCCCAGAGTTAAAGACCAGCCTGGGCAACATAGTAAGACCCTGTCTCTACAGAAGATTAAAAAATTAGCTGGGTATGGTGGTGAATACTTGTGGTTCTAGCTACTCAGGAGGCTGAGATGGGAGGACTGCTTGAGCCCAGGAGGTTGGGGCTGTAGTAAACCATGTTTGTGCCACTGCATCCTAGCCTAGGCAACAGAGTGAGACCCTGTCTCAAAACAAAAACACTTACAGAAATGAAAACAAAATAATTATGCATTGTGATAGTGCTGTGAAAAGATAAACCAAGTGATGGGATAGAAAATAAATGTGGGAGTCTACTTGGATAAATTTCCTGCCGGCCGCTCTCAGAAAGGGTCATTTGAGCTGAGACCCAGGGAATGAGAATGAGCCCATTTAGAGTGATTCCCAGAGAGAGGGCTCACGTGAAAAATGGGCACCTTTTTTTTTTGAGATGGAGTCTCGCTCTGTGCCCATGCTGTAGCACAGTGGTGCGATCTTGGCTCACTGTAACCTCTGCCTCCCGGGTTCAAGTCATTGTTCTGCCTCAGCCTTCTGAGTAGCTGAGACTACAGGTGCCTGCCACCATACCCAGCTAATTTTTATATTTTTAGTACTGATGGGGTTTCACCATAATGGCCAGGCTGGTCTCGAACTCCTGACCTGATGATCTGCCTGCTTTGGCCTCCCAAAGTGTTGGGATTATAAGCATAAGCCACCTTGCCTGGCCCCTAAATGGATACCTTTACATATGGAGTGGGATTGATCTGTGAGCAGTATACAGTATACAGACAGCTGCACATTTCAGTGTAATCACTTGCTCCAAAAATCTGGATTCTATTTAGTGAAGTTCTTTAATTCTTCTCTCCTGACTCCTGTATGGTCTGCTGATAGGATTCACTGTTTTCAGTATTGTCCCCCTTCAATCAATTTGCCACTCAGCAGCCAACATAACTGTGTAAGTGTGGATCGTATATGAGCTGCAAGTTTGAGAAACTCCGTAGTAACCCTGTCTCAAAAAGTTAAAAAAAAAAAGCATTTAATGGCTTACAAAGCTGAAAAGTCCAGGTACATCTGGATCCAAAGGGTCAAACAATAGCTCAGGACTTCCTCAGCTCTGCTTGCCTCTGGGAGCTACTCTTAGGCCTACTGTCCCCCTGTTGTGGTAGACGGGTACCAGCAGCTCCATTTGCATCTATATCAACGATTCTGGCTGAAGTCTTGTTTATTGGCCTGGTTGAGTGACATGGTGGGAGTGGGTTGGTGAGTTGGTTGGGATGATGGAGAGGGCAGTGGGGAGGCAATAATCAACTAGCCAAGCATGATTTCTGGTACTGGGGAGTGAATTCAGTACCATCCAAGCCTCATAGGATGAGAATAGTGGAAGGGTAGTTATTTTAACTTATTTATTCTTTTGAGATGGAGTTTCCCTCTTGTTGCCCAGACTGGAGTGCAATGATGTGATCTCGGCTTACCGCAACCTCCACCTCCTGGGTTCAAGTGATTCTTCTGCCTCAGCCTCCTGAGTAGCTGGGATTACAGGCATGTGCCACCATGCCCAGCTAATTTTTTTGTGTTGCTTTTAGTAGAGACAGGGTTTCTCCATGTTGATCAGGCTGGTCTTGAACTTCTAACCTCGGGTAATCCACCCACCTTGGCCTCCCAAAGTGCTGGGATTACAGGCATGAGCCACCAAATTTTTGTATTTTTAGTAGACACAGTGTTTTGCTTCCAGGCTGGTCTTCAACTACCGGCCTTTTGTGATCTGCATGCCTTGGCCTCCCAAAGTGCTGGGATTTACAGGCATGAGCTACCTCGCCTGGCCATGAGGTCTCTTCAGAGATTATTCCACCTGTTTGTTTGCAAAAAGGTGGGGATCCCTGTCTTTCAATGATAACTATGTGTGTGAAGAGCTGGCAGCTCATCAACGGTAATTTTTTTTTTTAATTAAAAAATTAAGATGATCTTCAAAGGCACAGAATTAAAAACACCAGGAATGAAAATCACTAGGTTTCTCATTTGGTGTGGACACAATTGTTTGCTTCCTCTTGATTTCTCCCCAGAGGCCCAGGGTATGGAGCAACCTCAGGCCAGCCTGCTTGGCTCTTCCTCATTTGGCCAGGGCACTTGCTGAGCGCGGACCCCTCTTCCAGGGCTTTTCATGTGAACAAACTGCATGCAGTCCTCGATTTCATCACTGCCTGCAAGGGCTCAGGACCCTCCAAGTGTGCCTTTCAGCTTTGAAAACTTTATTCTTTAGTACCTTTTGTCCGTCATCAGGATTTTGGCCTGATAACATGGTTGAAAAGGTTTTGTCAAATGCCACTCGAACTTTCTGGTAACGACGCAAAGAATACATGCCTGGCTGAGGCTGGCACATTCATCCTTGCAGCTATTTTGGTAATTGGCTTTTGGGGAAGTGTGCTCTCCGTGGGGGCCTCTCTGAAACCTCCATACTAAGGCATGGATGGGAAAAACAAAACCTTCCCAGAGCAAGCTGACGCGTGAGAAAGAACTTGTTTTTTTTTGAGACAGAGTCTCACTCAGTTGTCCAGGGTGGAG